TGGGTTCACTCTCCAACACACCGGTTAGTGCTAATACCAGCAACGAATTGGCACGTTTCATTTACGTGACAAACCTTACGAATTGGCCGCATCGGGCGGTGGCGGGTTTAACGACACATTTATACTTACGCGATCTGACCCCAAAAACAACCTCTGTTATGAACGGCCGATCGATTTGACTCGAGCACACGAAACGGGATGTCGTGCAAGGTGTACGGTGGTTCAGTAGTCCCGGCGCTGGCGCCCAACGTCGAGGCAACGTTGAGATGCGGTGGGAAAAACGTTGGGCCAATGTTGACGTCGTTGTAATCGTCGGACTAAGGTAGGCCCAACATTCTGCGTTTACTGGAAATCTAGTAAACATGCCAATCTAGTAAACATGCCATCGTTGGTCCAATTTTGCCATGTGGTTGTTTGTAGCCAATGTTGGCTTCCCAAGTAAGCATTGAATGTTGGCCCAACGTTGGCGCAACGTTGGCTTCCCAGTAAGCATTGAACGTTGGCCCAATGTTGGCATGCGATTGGACCCGTTGGCCCAACATTGAAATTCCCAGTAAGCATTGAACGTTGGCCCAACGTCGATATGTCATTTGACCCATTGGCCCAACATTGGCCCGACGTTTGTGCACAGTTAATTGCGATGTGATCCGCAGCGCGCTCGTTAATTCAATCCGTCCATAGATTACCAGTAATTTCTTCAAACATGGCCCGTCGTGGGTTTGACCGCCAAGCAACGACTCACTATAAAAGTAAAATTGTTACATCACTCGCGAAAGTGGCTGGGGCAGGGAGATGTCGCCAACTAAAAGAACATGATGAAGTAGAAGAGGAGGAAGAAGATGAAGAAGAACATGATGAAAAAGAGGGGGAAGAAGATGATGAAGAAGAGGAAGACGATGAAGAAGAAAAAGTAGAAGATGAAGAAGAGGAAAAAGATGAAGAAGAGGCAGAAGAAGGGACATTTTTGTTTGAATTCGGTAAAAAAAAGAACTGGACTCAATATTTCAAGAGCCGCAATGCACTGTGGGTGAATAGGAGACTGGCAGCGGTGGTGCTGAATAAATAAATGAAGTCCCGGAGCCGGCCCTGACGAGAGCGGCCGCGTGATGCCGCGGCTCCGGAGCCGCCGGTTGCCGAACCGCTCCCGGGGCTGGGGGATGAGGCCACTCGTTAATGTGCAGCGGCCACTTTTAATTTGGCAATCTGTGGCGTTTCGTTTCTGTGAGTTGGCACGAAGATCCCCCCATCCCCCGTGTAGCGTGTAACAGACTGTTGGGGCAAGTGCTGTTAGCGAGCACCTATTAAGGCCGGTACGACACGCGAGGGAGGTGGGTGGCCAGCAACTACGCCCGGCCGCCTTTGTCTCCCCAGTGGTGATGTTTACTACACACCGCACCGGGCCCAGGACCGGTTCAGAGATAATCATCACCGGTGTTGGACGTGAGCGGGAATCGAACTTGGGTCGCCGGTTTCGTAGCACAGCAGCGCTAACCGCTGTGCCAGCGCTCCCCATGAGTTGCCACCCACAAACACACCCACCCACAAACACACCCACCCACAAACACACCCACACACAAACACACTCACCCACAAACACACCCACACACAAACACACCCACCCACAAACACACCCACACACAAACACACTCACCCACAAACACACCCACACACAAACACACTCACCCACAAACACACTCACCCACAAACACACTCACACACAAACACACCCACACACAAACACACCCACACACAAACACACCCACACATAAACACACCCACACACAAACACACTCACCCACAAACACACTCACACACAAACACACTCACCCACAAACACACCCACACACAAACACACCCACACACAAACACACCCACACACAAACACACTCACCCACAAACACACCCACACACAAACACACTCACCCACAAACACACTCACACACAAACACACCCACACACAAACACACCCACACACAAACACACCCACACACAAACACACCCACACACAAACACACTCACACACAAACACACTCACACACAAACACACCCACACACAAACACACCCACACACAAACGCACCCACACACAAACACACCCACACACAAACACACCCACACACAAACACACTCAAACACAAACACACCCACACACAAAAACACTCACCCACAAACGCACCCACACACAAACACACCCACACACAAACACACCCACACACAAACACACCCACACACAAACGCACCCACACACAAACGCACCCACACACAAACGCACCCACCCACAAACGCACTCACCCACAAACGCACCCACCCACAAACGCACCCACCCACAAACGCACCCACCCACAAACGCACCCACACACAAACGCACCCACCCACAAACGCACCCACACACAAACGCACCCACACACAAACGTACCCACCCACAAACGCACCCACACACAAACGCACCCACACACAAACGCACTCACCCACAAACGCACCCACCCACAAACGCACCCACCCACAAACGCACCCACACACAAACGCACACACACACAAACGCACCCACCCACAAACGCACCCACACACAAACGCACACACACACAAACGCACCCACACACAAACGCACCCACACACAAACGCACCCACCCACAAACGCACCCACACACAAACGCACCCACACACAAACGCACCCACACACAAACGCACCCACACACAAACGCACCCACACACAAACGCACCCACACACAAACGCACCCACACACAAACTCACCCACACACAAACGCACCCACACACAAACGCACCCACACACAAACGCACCCACACACAAACGCACCCACCCACAAACGCACCCACCCACAAACGCACCCACCCACAAACGCACCCACACACAAACGCACCCACACACAAACGCACCCACACACAAACGCACCCACACACAAACGCACCCACACACAAACGCACCCACACACAAACGCACTCACCCACAAACGCACCCACACACAAACGCACCCACACACAAACGCACCCACCCACAAACGCACCCACACACAAACGCACCCACACACAAACGCACCCACACACAAACGCACCCACACACAAACGCACCCACACACAAACGCACTCACCCACAAACGCACCCACCCACAAACGCACCCACCCACAAACGCACCCACACACAAACGCACCCACACACAAACGCACCCACCCACAAACGCACCCACACACAAACGCACACACACACAAACGCACCCACACACAAACGCACCCACACACAAACGCACCCACCCACAAACGCACCCACACACAAACACACTCACACACAAACACACCCACACACAAACACACCCACACACAAACGCACCCACACACAAACGCACCCACACACAAACGCACCCACACACAAACGCACCCACACACAAACGCACCCACACACAAACGCACCCACACACAAACGCACCCACACACAAACGCACCCACCCACAAACGCACCCACCCACAAACGCACCCACCCACAAACGCACCCACACACAAACGCACCCACACACAAACGCACCCACACACAAACGCACCCACACACAAACGCACCCACACACAAACGCACCCACACACAAACGCACTCACCCACAAACGCACCCACACACAAACGCACCCACACACAAACGCACCCACCCACAAACGCACCCACACACAAACGCACCCACACACAAACGCACCCACACACAAACGCACCCACACACAAACGCACCCACACACAAACGCACCCACACACAAACGCACCCACACACAAACGCACTCACCCACAAACGCACCCACACACAAACGCACCCACACACAAACGCACCCACCCACAAACGCACCCACACACAAACGCACCCACACACAAACGCACCCACACACAAACGCACCCACACACAAACGCACCCACACACAAACGCACCCACACACAAACGCACCCACACACAAACGCGCCCACACACAAACGCACCCACACACAAACGCACCCACACACAAACGCACCCACCCACAAACGCACCCACACACAAACGCACTCACCCACAAACGCACCCACACACAAACGCACCCACCCACAAACGCACCCACACACAAACGCACCCACCCACAAACGCACCCACCCACAAACGCACCCACACACAAACGCACCCACCCACAAACGCACCCACCCACAAACGCACCCACACACAAACGCACCCACACACAAACGCACCCACACACAAACGCACCCACACACAAACGCACCCACACACAAACGCACCCACACACAAACGCACTCACCCATGCGCACACGCGATCAGCGCAGTAACAGACCGGCGAATTAATTTGTCTCAAACCTCACGCAATGGAAGGTGACAGCAGTGTACTGTACAAATAATGTCACGGAGCGGTCCTTAAATAGCAAACAGTGCCGTACTATACATACAGTACGGCACTGTATACTCACGCGCGACGTTTCGCCACGACGTCCAACGTTTCGCCCCTCTCCCCCCCCCCCCGCGTGTGTCCCAGGAGCTCCGTTCACGAACCGTGAAGCGTATAGCGGCTCTGAAGTCCCAACAGGTGGTCGGTCAACCCGCACGTCCTTGTGGGTGAAGCAATGCTCCCAGAATGCATTTCACGGGCACAGGTCAGAGGGTGCCGAGGTCAATTAGTGAAGTCGTCAACGCAGCGATCGGTCGCGGGCAAGACGGTGAGCCTGACGAACCCCGTAAGCATCCCAACGTCGGCTCAACGTTGGGATGCTTAGAGTTGCTTACTGGGTTTCCGGTAAACGTACAACGTTGGCCCAACGTTTGCCCAACGTTCCGAAGTTTCCCGTGAACGTCGGCACGAGCGTTCGAGCGCGCGGTGGGAACCGTTCCAAGTTTAACGGGAAGCTCCCAGCACGTGGTTGGAACGTCGCGACGTCAACGCAGAACGACGCGCCGGGGGGGAAAGCCACCGCAAAAATGCGCCGGGGCGGGCCGGGGGGGGGGGCCAGGGTGTGGGGGGCAGGGGGACATGGGGCGGTGGGGGGGGGGGGGCAGGGGGTGGACCGCCACCATCTCCGCACGCGAGGAGCGCGACCGCGCGGGGCCCCCATCGCGGTGCGAGTCAACACGGCCCCGGACGCAGCGACGGAATGCGCCGAGTGGAGGTCGCGAGCGCGCTCTGCGGCGCAAGCCGACACGACGCGTGCCCAGTGCTCACGTGGGCCTACAGGACACATCCACCGTCACCACCACCACGAGCGAGAACCTCTCACGGCACATCAACCGGGAGGAGGGTTGACCCCTGCGACCGACGTGAGACCGTCCGCGGATGGCCTCCCCTACGCCGAGAGGGAGGCCGGCCGGCCGGCCGCCTGGCCGGCGTGTGCGGGCTGGGCGGGCGCTGCTCTCAAGCCTTTCCTGGGTATGCCGAGGCTTTCTCCTTCAGCTGCTCCACGCACATGTGGCAGCTCCAACTCCCTGCAAAGAATAATCGGAACATATTTATTTACACTGCGGGAGGAATCCGATGAGCTATAACGTTTCCCCCCCCCCCCACAGATGTCCAGTAGGGGCACGGGGTGAGCAGGTTACACCAACAATCAATATTAAACAATCACGACAGCAGTGAACAGTACAAGAAAGGTAAAAAAATCACCCAAATATTCTCGGTTCTTTCGGTAAAGTCACCACGTAGAAGGGAAATAATAAAATAATAAACATACAACATTAAAATTCTCACGACGTTTCGATTGCAACACAAGCAATCATCATCAGGTGTGAAAACCACAGCAAGAAAAGAACCAAGAATATACATCCCCTCTTACACTCTCACACACACACAAAGACAAAGATCCCACTATTGCCCGGTCGCCTTTGTCTCCCCAGTGGCGATGTTTACACATTACACCAAGTACTCATTTGAGGCTGAGTCGACCTAGGGGAGGCCCAGGACCGGTTCAGATAATCGTCACCGGTGTTGGCCGTGAGCGGGAATCGAACTCGGGTCGCCAGGTTCGTAGCGCAGCGAAGCGCTAACCGCTACACTACCGCTCCCCCACACACACAGACACACGCACACAGACACACGCACACAGACACACACACAGACACACGCACACAGACACACGCACACAGACACACGCACACACACACAGACAGACACACACACAGACACACACACAGACACACAGACACACACAGACAGACACACACACAGACACACACAGACACACACACAGACACACACACAGACACACACAGACAGACACACACAGACAGACACACACAGACACACACACACAGACACACACACAGACACACACACACAGACACACACACATATACACACTGACAGACACACACAGACACAGACACACACACAGACACACACACACACAGACACACGCACACAGACACAGACACACACAGACAGACACAGACACACACAGACACACACAGACACAGACACACACACAGACACACACAGACAGACACACACAGACACACAGACACACACACAGACACACACGCGTCCATCTCATCCTTGCACCGAGAGCCGCTGACGCATGGCGGTTCTCGCCATGCGGGCGGCGTAAAAATAGCGGCTTCGTTACCCCCCCATCACATCTCCTCCTCCACGCTTCGGCATTAGTCATTTGCACCAATTAATGGGGTGTCTGCTGTAAAGCGGCACTTGCAGGCGAGGTGGCAATGATTTTGCCAATTAAACCTCGGTGACATTTGGCGTGAAATGAGCCCCCGGCTCCTCGCCCGCTCGGGTGGTGGTAGCGGTGGCGGCGGCGCTGGTGGCGGTTAATGAATGCCGACACCAAGTTGGGCTGCCTCCTCCCTGCTGCTCACAAATTAAGTGCGTGTTGGGGTGGTTTGTGGGTGTTTTTTTAGTATGGCACAGAGTGAGTGTGTGTGTGTGAGAGAGGGAGCGGTAGTGTAGTGGTCAGCGCGCTGCGCTAGGAACCTGGCGACCCGGGTTCGATTGCCGCTCACGGCCAACACCGGTGACGATTATCTGAACCGGTGCCTGGGCCTCCCCTAGGTCGACTCAGCCTCAAATGAGTGCCTGGTGCGGTGTGTAAACATCGCCACTGGGGAGACAAAGGCAGCCGGGCGTGGTGTTGGCCACCCAACCCCTCGTGTGCTGTGCCAGCGTTTATAGGTGTTCGCTAACAGCACTTGCCCCTACAGTCTCTTAAGGCTATAGGGGGATCTTTGTCATTTTGTGTGTGTGTGTGGTGAGTTAGGGGATGAGACGTGTGTGTGTGTGTGGTGAGTGTGTGGTGTGTGAGTTAGGAGATGAGACGTGTGTGTGTGTGGTGAGTGTGTGTGTGTGAGTTAGGGGATGAGACGTGTGTGTGTGTGAGTTAGGGGATGAGACGTGTGTGTGTGTGAGTTAGGGGATGAGACGTGTGTGTGTGTGAGTTAGGGGATGAGAGGTGTGTGTGTGTGGTGAGTGTGTGTGTGTGAGTTAGGGGATGAGACGTGTGTGTATGTGTGTGAGTTAGGGGATGAGACGTGTGTGTGTGAGTTAGGGGATGAGACGTATGTGTGTGTGTGTGTGAGTTAGGGGATGAGACGTGTGTGTGTGAGTTAGGGGATGAGAGGTGTGTGTGTGTGGTGAGTGTGTGTGTGTGAGTTAGGGGATGAGACGTGTGTGTGTGTGTGTGAGTTAGGGGATGAGAGGTGTGTGTATGTGTGTGAGTTAGGGGATGAGAGGTGTGTGTATGTGTGTGAGTTAGGGGATGAGAGGTGTGTGTGTGTGGTGAGTGTGTGTGTGTGAGTTAGGGGATGAGACGTGTGTGTGTGTGTGTGAGTTAGGGGATGAGAGGTGTGTGTATGTGTGTGAGTTAGGGGATGAGAGGTGTGTGTGTGTGGTGAGTGTGTGTGTGAGTTAGGGGATGAGAGGTGTGTGTGTGTGGTGAGTGTGTGTGTGTGTGAGTTAGGGGATGAGAGGTGTGTGTATGTGTGTGAGTTAGGGGATGAGAGGTGTGTGTGTGTGGTGTGTGTGTGTGAGTTAGGGGATGAGAGGTGTGTGTGTGTGGTGTGTGTGTGTGAGTTAGGGGATGAGACGTGTGTGTGTGTGGTGAGTGTGTGTGTGTGTGAGTTAGGGGATGAGACGTGTGTGTGTGTGAGTTAGGGGATGAGGTGTGTGTGTGTGTGAGTTAGGGGATGAGACGTGTGTGTGTGTGAGTTAGGGGATGAGACGTGTGTGTGTGTGTGAGTTAGGGGATGAGAGGTGTGTGTGTGTGTGTGAGTTAGGGGATGAGGTGTGTGTGTGGTGTGTGTGTGTGAGTTAGGGGATGAGAGGTGTGTGTGTGTGTGGTGAGTGTGTGTGGTGAGTGTGTGTGTGGTGAGTGTGTGTGGTGAGTGTGTGTGTGGTGAGTGTGTGTGGTGAGTGTGTGTGTGGTGAGTGTGTGTGGTGAGTGTGTGTGGTGAGTGTGTGTGTGTGAGTGTGTGTGTGTTGAGTGTGTGTGGTGAGTGTGTGTGTGTGGTGTGTGTGTGTGTGGTGAGTGTGTGTGTGGTGTGTGTGTGTGGTGAGTGTGTGTGGTGAGTGTGTGTGTGTGTGTGGTGAGTGTGTGTGTGTGTGGTGAGTGTGTGTGAGTGTGTGTGTGTGTGGTGAGTGTGTGTGTGGTGAGTGTGAGTGTGTGAGTGTGTGTGTGTGTGTGGTGAGTGTGTGTGTGTGTGTGGTGAGTGTGTGTGTGTGGTGAGTGTGTGTGTGTGTGTTGAGTGTGTGTGTGGTGAGTGTGAGTGTGTGTGTGTTGAGTGAGTGTGTGGTGTGTGTGAGTGTGAGTGTGTGTGAGTGTGTGTGTGTGAGTGTGTGTGTGTGAGTGTGTGTGTGTGGTGAGTGTGAGTGTGTGTGGTGAGTGTGTGTGTGTGTGTGTGTGGTGAGTGTGTGTGTGTGTGTGGTGAGTGTGTGTGTGTGTGTGGTGAGTGTGTGTGTGTGTGTGGTGAGTGTGTGTGTGTGTGGTGAGTGTGTGTGTGGTGAGTGTGTGTGTGGTGAGTGTGTGTGTGGTGAGTGTGTGTGGTGTGTGTGTGTGTGTGGTGAGAGTGTGTGTGGTGAGTGTGTGTGTGTGTTGAGTGTGAGTGTGTGTGTGTGGTGTGTGTGTGTGGTGTGTGTGAGTGTGTGTGTGTGAGTGTGAGTGTGTGGTGAGTGTGTGTGTGTGTGTGGTGAGTGTGTGTGTGGTGAGTGTGAGTGTGTGTGTGGTGAGTGTGTGAGTGTGTGTGTGTTGAGTGAGTGAGTGTGTGTGTGTGGTGTGTGTGTGTGTGAGTTAGGGGATGAGAGGTGTGAGTGTGTGTGTGTTGAGTGTGTGTGGTGTGTGTGTGTGTGACTCAAGCAGTATAAACCATCATCGCGTGAACTCCGGTCATCCGCGCAGCGGCAGCTTTCGGCTCGGCCATGGAACGAAGACGGTGGTCACCGCGACTTCGGATGCCGTCTGGAACGTTCCTCGTTCCAGCATTAGCAAGCCACTGGGGGCTATGGCACTTTCAACTAATCTCGATTGACGAACCCCTTTCTTTAGAACTGCCTTTCGCGTCCAGTTTGTTGTTCCTTACCCCGCACCTCCGATCAGCGTGACCGGCTGCATGCGGCGCGAAGGGAGTTGACCGTACGTGCCTGCCTAGCCAGCGCCGCGGATGATCTGTGGCAAGATGCGAGCGGCCGAGCCCGCGACGCCTGCCGGCGTTTCCCTGCCGGCGCCAGCCGAGTCCGTGCCGCCTATGCCACGAGATCCAAGCCACGCCTTGAGCTGGAGCTGTCTGTCACCCACGGCCATTGCAACAGCCAGGGGCGGAGCCAGGATTTCAGGCCGGGGTGACATTCAACAAATTTTAATTTCAAGAATGATTTAGAGAGAGTCAGGCTGTTGAACTAGACGCCATCGGTTGGCGACACGCTCTGACGATGCAGTTGCACGGAGTCCGCCAGACCGAGTGTCGTACACTTGTACGCAGAATGTCACCCACCCTGTCACCCCCCCTGGCTCCGCCCCTGGCAACAGCAATGGAGAGGGCAGCTGTTCGAACTATTATTACTACACTTTTTAGTTCAACAGGTAAAGCTATATAATAGCTCTTTTTCAAGAAGCGACCTGGCTGTCACAAATAATAGCTCAACAGAGTGGCTTATCACGTGGAAATGTAGAGCAGCCAAATAATCTGCAAACGCGTGATGTTGATTCTCAATGTGGAGGGGAAAAACCGGAGGACCCGGAGAAAAATTCACGCGACCACGGGGAGAGAGAGAAACCGCAAACTCCAAATATACAGCAGCAGGCATCGGGGTCGGGATCAAACCCACGACCTCCTGCGTACCAGGCGAGGTAGTTAACATCTCCTAGCCACCGTGATGCCCTGGACGTCGCCGCAATTCACCGAGGCCGTATTTGATTTTTGATGTTGTCGTGTGTAAGCCGCGATCGAGACAGGGTGGGTGATTGTGGTTATTCATTGAAGCCAGAAAGGGGTCCCAAGAAGCACGTCGATGGGCCGAGTTTAATCGCCACGCACGCGTGGACAGGTACCCACCCTGAAAAAAGAATACATCCGACAGCTCTGCGGGCTTCACCCGGTAAAACAAAACAGCTGCACGTCGTTTTGCGAAGCGAAAATCCCGACGCATGCCACGAGAGAGTGGACCTGTCCCAGCGGGAACACCCTCGCCGTGGTTGGGGGGCCGGGGGGGGCGATGGCATTGGCGGCGAGAGACGGCCGCGGCGCAGGGTGGGTGTCGCCGACGGTCAGCGGTGGCGGGCGCGTACCCTCGGGAGGCTCGTCCATGGGCGGAGAGAGGCAGTACATGTGGTAGCCCCGGTCGCAGTCGTCGCAGAACAGCAACTGCTCCTGCCAAAGGGGTCGGCAGGTCACCGGGGGGTCAAAACGGCGAAGAGCGACCGGCGTCTGCACCACGCGCGGCCACGCGCACCGATACCGATAGCAACGGCCGCAATTTGCCACCGAGCGACGGTGCCGTCACCGGGCACTCATTTGAGGCTGAGTCGACCGAGGGGAGGCCCGGGACCGGTTCAGATAATCGTCACCGGTGTCGGCAGCGAGCGAGAATCGAACGTGGGGTCGTCGGGTTCTTCGCGCAGCGACACATACACAGAGACACAAAGATCCCCCGTGTAGCCTTAACAGACTGGAGGGGCAAGTGCTGTTAGCGAGCACCTATGAAGGCCGGAACGGTACACGAGGGGGTGGGTGGCCAGAACCACGCCCGACCGCCTTTGTCTCCCCAGTGGCGACGTTTACTACACTGCACCAGGTACTCATTTGAGGCTGAGTCAACCTAGGGGAGGCCCAGGACCGGTTCAGATAATCGTCACTGGTGAGATACAGACACACAGATATACACACACACACATATACATACATACACACACAGATACATACATACACACACAGATACACACACACAGATACAAACAAAGAGATACACACACGCAGATACATACCCACACAGAGATATACACAACCGCCATTCGCCACTAAGTGACGGTGACGTCACCACGGTGCTTGTGCCAGGCTATGTGCACGTTAAGGCCACGCCAAGTGTCGAACGCCCGCTGGCAGGTCACGGGGCAGACCCAGATGTCTTGGGTCGACCGTTTAAGATGAGTGGCCGATGCACCACATGTGCCCCCTACTCTGCCAACCTGCTGTGCTTTAGCCGCCCGGCGCTTCGCTCGTTGTTGTGAGCGTCGCTCCTCCGCCCTCCGTTGTTGTTGGAGGGCGACTGCCTCCAACTGCCCAGTAGCGTCCTTCATGAGCCTCCTCCACTGAGGCCAATCTTGACACCGCTGGTACCAGTCATCGGCAAGTCCACTCACCACACCACGCAATCTCTTCTCTAGCCCGTGCCCGTTTAGCCCCCTCAATCCGGCCGAACAAAAGCGGTGGGGGGGGGGGAGGAGCGGTGGGGGGAAGAGGAGCGGTGGGGGGAAGCGATGGGGGGGGGAGGAGCGATGAGGGGGGGGAGGAGCGGTGGGGGGGGGGGGGGTCCTCACGTCGTTCTCGGATGTCCCGCAGAGGCTGCAGCTCTTGCACTCGATGCACTGCCAGCGGTAGACGCGCACCGCCGCACGCATGTTCTCCGTGAACTGCAGGCACGTGGGGTGGCCTGCATGGTGGACACACACACACACGCACGCACGCGCGCACGCACACACGCGCGCACGAGCAGGCAGCGCACACACACACACACGCGCAGCCAAGACTCACGCACCCACACGCACACCCAGCATGGCACACAGCACCCACCGCGGCACCCCACGCGCGCCGCGCGGGGCCAAGCCACGGCCTTCTCCACCGCGCTCCGCTCCTCCGACTCCGGTCTCCTCCTCCTCCTCCTGCTCACTCCCAAGATGCACCACCACCGCTCCACCACCACCACCACCGCTCCACCACCACCACCACCGCTCCACCACCACCACCGCTCCACCACCGCCGTCGGTGGGACGCCGTTTTTTGTTTACAACGATCGCCGGCGGCGTCGTTCGGCATGAGGTCCGACGTTTCGCTCCGCGTTCACCGGGAGAAATTCTTCGCCAACTGGGAATTCTGAGCGGCTCACTTGGGTCACGCGCTGTTTTTTTTTTGCCGGCTGGTTGCTGCTGCTGCCGCCGCCGCCACCGCCGCCGGTTCTTGATGGACGATCGATCGGCTCGGATCTCTCCGGGCGCCGGACGTCATGCCGAACAGCGCAAAGTTCGCGAGCGGCACCTGCCCCTTGACGCCTCGGGGCCCAGGCTGGCGGAGGCTTCTCGTCCGTCGTGCGTGGTCTGATTTGCGGCCTCCAAACGCCACGTTTTAGTCACTGGCGGAGCCAGTTGGGGGGGGGGGGGGGTGGCACGTGCCCCCCCAACTATCCGATCGAAATCCCTAATATCGATCGAATCATTGGGGTTTATTAGTAATAAATCGGCATTTTGCGACCCTCACTGCTTACTGTGTAGCATATTATTATTACGTGCCAGGGACTCTATGAGATGATAGGACAATTGTCTGAGTCCATAATTGGCAATAAGTAACGGCAAAGCGGTTATCAGTGTCTCACAGAATTGTGCGCAGTTGCGTAAACAGTCCACGACTTCCCTGAAGGCATCGGCACCTTCAGCGAGCGCGTTGCCGATCACACAACGCGGTTCGAATTCGACCTTCGATCGATGGCTGTGCCATCGCCGCACACGCGTCGAATAAAAAGCAAGGGACAAGTCCTCACTTACTAACAACTCCTCTATCATTTTTCATTGCTGGAGGGGTTGCCCCCCCTACCTGAAAATCCTGGCTCCGCCACTGATTTTAGTGCCCCCTTTTTTTTCCCCCGTGAGGTCCGCAAGCTTTTCCGAAGCTTTCTGAAGCTCCCGGGTGATAATAATTATTATTAGGATTATAACAATAATTGACAATGCCGCGGTGGCAAGATGTTAACTACCTCGCCTGGTGTGCAGGAGTTCGTGGCTTCGATCTCAAACCTGACACCTGCTGCTGTATATTTGGAGTTTGCGGTCTCTCTCTCACCGTGGTCACGTGGATTTATCTCCGGGGCCCTCCGGTTTTCCCCCCCTCATTTGGAATCGGCGTCACTCGTTTAGAGTATTTGGCTGGGGTAAATATCCACGTGACGATAAGCCACTTCTACCATCGGCTTGTGAATTGCTGACTTGGACATCTGTGGTGAAACAAGAGCTTCGCAGCTCATCGGATTTGTCCCGGATGAAAAAAAACATCAAGATTTTGAAAAACACAACGCTCCAACTTCACCGACACGCTTTGACTGAGAGTGGATACGTACGGTCAAATACACTTCCCAGTGGATAAAACTATCAACAATTTATTTTTATTTTACCAGGTAAGGCCCCACTGAGCTACGTAGCTATTGGTCAGAAGTGAGCCTGGCCATCACAAACGATAGCTCAACGAAGTGGTGGCTTATCACGTGGACATTTATAGTAGTAGCCAAATACGCCTCTAAAACGCACGTTTATATCATCATCACGTGGACATTTATAGCAGATACTCTGAAACGCGTGATGTCGATTCTAATCCATGGGTTGGGATTGAACCCACGACCTCCTGTGTACCCGGAGAGGTAGTTAACATCTCCTAGCCACCGCGGCACCCCGTGTGAATCACTGGATGGCAGTGGGGGAGGGAGGGAGGGAGTGGGGTGGGAGGGTTATTGTCCATCGTCCGTGATTGGAGTGGAGTGGGGGATTGTGAATGGGGCCGAGAGGTTGGGGGAGAGGCTGCAGGATCTGTGGACGCAATGTTTGGGCACGGGACGCACACGGGTACTCACGCGGGTAATCACACGAGTACGCACACGCGTACACACACGGGACATACACACGGGTACACACACGGGACATACACACGGGTACACACACGGGTACACACATGGAACGTACTCACATGGGTACACACACGCATACACACACATGGGTACACACACCCGTACACACACCCGTACACACACGGGTACTCACACGGGTACACACATGGGACGCACACGGGTACACATACTGGTACACACACATGGGTACACACACCCGTACACACACGGGACACACACACGGGACACACACACGGGTACACACACACGGGACACACACACGGGTACACACATGAGTACACACATGAGTACACAAACACGGGTACACACACGGGTACACACACGGGTACACACATGGTACACACATGAGTACACACACACGGGACACACACACGGGTACACACACACGGGTACACACACACGGGACACACACGGGACATACACACGGGACACACACGGTACACACATGAGTACACACACGGGTACACACACAGATACACACATGAGTACACAAACACGGGTACACACACGGGACACACACACGGGTACACACACACGGGACACACACACGGGTACACACACGGTACACACATGGTACACACACGGGACACACACACGGGTACACACACGGGTACACACACGGTACACACATGAGTACACACACGGGTACACACAGATACACACATGAGTACACACACACACGGTACACACATGAGTACACACACACGGGTACACACATGAGTACACAAACACGGGTACACACACATGCATTCTCCATTCAAGGTGGAACCAAAAAGGCAAACCAAAACGAAAACCAAAAATACCAACACGCAAGGCTTGTGTCCATTCAACAACCATCTCTTTTATTTTTCTGCATAAATTATAATAGAGAGAGAGAGGGGAGAGAGAGAGAGGAGAGGAGATAGAGAATGAAAAATAAACAAAAATAATAATAACAAAAACCCTCAACCGGCCGAGACACACCGCGAGAAGAGGGAAAAAAATAATTTTTTAAATTCATCGCGAACATGGGAGCTGTACGTTTAGAGAGCGAGCGAGCGGGTGCAGGCGTAACAACCGAGAGAGAGAAAAACGCGCGCAAAAAAAAACTTAAACCGGCACCGTCGGACGAGGCTGCACCTAGCGAAGGCAAAGACAGAGACGGACGGACGGACGACGTCGTCGTCGTCGTCATTCAGAGATTTTGGTCTTTAAAATTCGGTGCCGAGGGGAGCGAGCGCGGTCCGCCACGTGACCCCCGCGGTCGCGGGGGGAGGTGGCGAGTCGACTTGAGAGATGCGGCGAGAGTTTGCCGCCCAAGTGGCCGTAACATCATCATCATCATTACGGCTACTACTACTACACGAATCATCCCGACACCGCCATCATCACCACCACCACCATCGCAAGAGAGGAATTGGGGGGGGGGGGGGGGGGCGGTGGTGGTGGGGGGGAACTTTCGGGATGGCGGCGCTGGTTCCTGGAGCCGTGCAGCCGCCGCTGCTGCTGCGTTTTAGACTTTTAGTTGAAGCTGTTGGTCGTGTCGATGGTTTAGCACGCCGGGTGGCGTCTGTCGCGATCGGCGATTCTCACGGCGCCAGCAGCCACGGGGACTGAACGACGGAACGGGATTGGAGGCGTTAAATCGGCACTTGCCGAGCGAGAAGCAAAGAATGCCACTGGGGAGCAATGCACAGTAGGATGGGGGGGGGGGGGCAGCATTTATGGCTTGTACGTCATGTGCGTTGTCAGCCCAAAAGAATAAAAATAAACAATTGTTTTTCCTCGTCAACTCGCAACTTTCTGACAAACTTTCGTTCGTGTACAAACATTTAAAACGAGGGCACGGTCTCCGGACAGATTCTATCCGGAACACACAAGAGACGGGGGTGGGTGGGGAGGTGACTGGATTCCATCAGGGCCCAACCGCAGGAGCCCGCTTTCCGCCTTCGCAAGATTCACGTCAGAAATTGTAATTCATTCGGATGTCGTTCAAAAAGAAGAAATCTTCATCGAAGCCGAGGATCGTCGAGCCGTTGCCGTCGAAGTGGCCAAACGCCTCGCCGAGCGCGGCGCCGCGACCCCCTCCGGCTCCCCCTCTGGCCCGGCCCCCGCCTGAGGCCCGGCGGCCCCGGGTGGAGGTGCCCCCCCGGGCGGCGCCGCCGCGCGGCCCCCCGGCCCACCACCTACGGGCCCGACCGCCCCCCCGGCTCCGTTGGCTTCCGCGTGGCGCGTCCGCCCCCGTGCCGCCAGCTGGGCCCAGCCGGCACACCACACACGCCCGGGATCGCCGCGTTACCGCCGAGATGTGGCGGGGCCCCCCCCCGGCACACCGCCCCCTCACCCCCGACCCTCCCCCCCCCCCACCGCCACCGACCGCCCCCCCCCCCACCGCCACCACCGCGTGACACGCCGGGTGCCAATTTGAAGGGCCGCAAGCGTCGCCGGGGCCGTCGGCCGCCACCGCCGCCAACCGGGATCCCGAGACTCATCCCGAGACTCATCCCGAGACTCGTCCCGAGACTCATCCCGAGCGGTTGGCGGTGGCGAAGGGGGGGGGGGGGGTGCCGGCAGTTGTGGGGGGGGGCAGAGAGAGAAACGACGACGAAGACGATCGGGGGGGGGGGGTTCTGTCCGGGGGGGGTTAAACAAAGACAAGAGGAGGAGCGCGTCTCGGGGGAGGGACAGGGGGAAGCACATGGGGTGGGGGGTGGGGGTTGTGTGACCTCTGCCTGCGATCTGATCGGATGTCGCCGTCCCCGGTTGCCTGGAGGGGGGGGGGGGGA